TGAAGTGGTCTTACGTTAAATCTTAGCGGAATGCAATGTGGAGTGGATATCCTTGTACTTAAAGCGTGGACTTGGTGCGAGCTGCGGGGTTGAGGTTTGCCGCCTCCAGCAGGCACCGTGAATGCCTGCGTGAAGGTTGTACACCTTGAAAACTGCGCGGGGTGTGTCTGTGCAGGGGGATGTCTGAGCAGCAGAGGCCAAGGTGGAGGGCGAGTTAAAAGCACTCATTTTGTTCACCCTTTATTTTCTGCAGATTCACTAGAACAGGCGTAGCACAGTGAGGCCATACTTGACCCACCCACCAGACTGCATCTTAGAGTCAGATTTCTGTTAGTGACGTCAGACTCCACATCACAAAACCAGAAAAAGTGGACTGCACAGAATCATTTGAGCCTTGAAATTTTATTATCTTGTTTGCATCAACCAGTTATTCCTTTCAGCACCAATAAAAGACAAAAAACCCTCCCTGTTGTTCAAAATACCTTGTTTTTATCAGGTCTGAGATTGTGGTTTTCTTGCAGGCAAAGAAACCAATGAAAATATTTAAATTTTTATTTTTTTAATACATTTATAACAAAATGTCAGAAGGTGTGTGCTTACCATATAAAAACATTAGGTTCCAGAAGGATACAATACCGAAAAATCATTGAAATAAAAAAGGTTATTCTTATTATAGGATTTCTAAACCTCAGCAATAATACAAGTCTTTAAAAGCATCAAGATTGTATTTAAAACAAGATGGCATGGAAAAATGAGACCTTCAGTAACAATTTGACCCTCATTGTAATGGATGATAAAATTGGGAGTTTTTCAAAGTGCTTGAATTGTATTTCTGATCTCATCCTATAGTGCCAGGAGGAGGTAAAAATGCTTCATTTCTGAGCTGATGATACGTGCCGACACTGATGTGCTGCTGTGTGATCCCAGGGTAGCTCAGAGACCAAACTGGGGACAGTCAGATCTGCTTAATCTGGACCACCAAACAAAGGCCATTTTAAAAAAAAAATCTTTACTGGAATTGTAAGCTCCTTAAATCTTACTGTTTTACCCAACAAGTAGGACAGAGGGTCTAGCCAGACTAGCCGAGAGTGCTCCTAGGAGAAAACCTTGTCATAATACCAGCACAAGATAGGTAAACTCGTTATACAAGACAGCTTTTCTCAAGGGTTTCTCTACAGCAAGCCACACCTCAGCGGTCTGTGGGCTTCTCTTGGAGCTGGCCTGTGGTACAGTTTGTGTTTGGCTGCTTTAGACGCTTCTATTAAGCACACAGTTTGTGATGGAATAAAACTAGCTGGCCACCACTTGAATTACTTAAACGCTTTTTCACATAGCACGGGGCTGCAGGCAAGGCATCGCTACCCTCGTCCTCGGTGGCTGAGCTGTGGTGCAAAGCAGGTGGATCACACATCCCTCAGACAAACAGTGCACAGACTAACTGGCTCTGAATGTGCCTGAGAGGCTATGTTCTGTAAGTGTGTCTTTGAAGTGATCTAAAGGTACCAACTTTGTAAGGACCTGACATCCTTGAAAATTCTGGAAGTTCTTAGTTTTTGGCTGTCCTCGTTTGTGGCTTTTGTTCACCTGTTCTAGAAGTGCTATTGTAAAATGCAAATTGAACGTGTGAACCAGAAGATGTTATCTAGCTTTTATAAAAACAGATGACACTTCATCTGCAGTATCCCTGTTAAGTGGCAGTTACTAAACCAAGAACAGCGTTATCGCCCACTTCTTGAAGATACCTGAAATTCCTGTACAAAGTGGGGTAAGCATAGTAGAGTAAGCTTAACTCAAATTTCTTATAAATAACATCCTACTTATAAACTGGGTCATGCTATCCTTAAGCAAAGTGGGACTGACTTCAGAGTCAGATTTCCTGGGCGTGTTCTCCCCCCCGCCCTTTGTTTTAAAATGCAAATATTCTATTACATAGTATCTGTCTAAGGCTTGTAATGATTGATGTCCTGCTGGTACAGGCGTTGTCTGAATGATTCTCTGTGAGATGGTCTATGGAACTGTAGTAGTAGTAGTGGTGTAGACGAAACTCATTTTTCTCCAGGATGTTACTCTTCTGGAAAGGAAAGCCTACTCCTTACAGTTTACCGGTACGTATGCTCTCTGACTCCTGCAAGCGTACCAAGGCATCAAAAGGCACAGGATCAATGCAAAAAAGCAAGGAGCATCTGTACAGTGGTGCCACAATGCTGTGCCTCCCAGCATCACTCTCTTGCAGAGTTAGATCCTGAAGACTGTAAATTCGTAAGAACTACCTAGACTGATTAAATGTATGTGTAGTGTTTAAAGAGAACATTTTACAACTATCCATTTCTTGATCACTGAGAAACGAAGAACATCAAAATCTAAAACAGTTTACTTCAAATTTGAAAAAATATTTCTCAACGTATCTCAAAAAGTTGACAAAAGTGCCTGGTTTTTAGTCAGCACAAAGCCACAGAACTAATTTAAAAGTAATTTAGATCATGTTAGTTTTACTGTAAATGTAACATTGTTTGGCAGTAGTTTTATGATTATATCCCACACAGTGTCAAATTCAGCTCCTGCAACTGATACTTAGTGAAGTTGATATCAAATTGTAATTTACATTGTTAGGAAAGCTATTAAAAATACTGTACCTTCTATTTAATCTTACTACTGAGAAATAGCTGCTGGACAGCACACAAATTGCTACTGGTACCGTTTGTTTTTTTTTTTTTTAAAAAGGTTAATAAAATACAAGCAAAGTAGAAAATAGGATTAAAAGCATTGTTTCAGGTACAAGTCTTTCTGAATTGGGTGGAGAGATAAGAAACCAGAAAAACACATTGCACATACGTGTACCCTCTGTATAAAGAGAAACATACAAAGTGGGGAACTGGTGGCGCACTGGGATAGTACACTGAAGTCTCTGATGCTGTAAACTTGAATTCCTAATTTTATCAAAAAGGGGAATTGAGTCTGGTTCCATTTTTGAGTTCCCATGGGTTACACTTGCAGACTACCCCATGGTTTGGCACAATACACTTTCAAGAGGCAGTCTCTGCTGAAGGGATACCAGGACTGGAAAATGAGGCATAAAACGTGTCGAGACCAGGTGCAGTGGGAGAGCGTTGAGAAGTGGCCTGCTACCTACTTGGAATTAGCCAATACTGTTAGTCCAGTACTTCTACGAGTTTCTCTGCTTGCAAAATCAGGCTGATATAAGTAAAAGTTCTGTGGTTTACTGTAGCTAATTAAGCCAGTACCGGAGGCTGTGCAGACTGGGATTCCTAATTTAAATCTATTCTGATTTAGCTCAAGCTGATTCCTAGCAGGTGGAAACAAAACCAAAACAAGAGCATCTTCAGGAGTTTGTGGCCAGCGTAACTAAAACAGTTTAATTAATGGAGTGAGTATAAGTATTAGATTAACTCTTCTCTTTTCAATGCAGGGAATTTGTAATGTAAGAGGAAATAACACTAAAATTGAACAGGAAGTAGGCAGAAGAAACTAAGTATTGGTTAAAAGCAAGGGGTCATTGTTTGCCCAGCAACACAAACCCTTCTGAATTTAAATTCCTAAAAAAAATCCCAAGTCGTCTTGTGGACCTGATTCTCAGCTTTTCATTATTTGTGTTAAGCTTACAGAGGCTGGGTGGGTCAGGTCATGGGGATAAAATGGCAGAGGGGAGCCCCACGTTTGAAGAGCTGCAGTGGAAAGGACATAAGAATTAGATGGCAAGACCCCTGTGAAAGTCTGTGAGTGCGTAACAAACGGAGAATTGCCTCGCAGACACAGGCAAAGCCTCTGCTCGTAGGAAGTCGTTACCCAAGGCTGAGAGGCAGAGGTCTGTTCTCTAGTAGCTAGCCACGCTACACTTTCCCTTTAAGCGTACTGATTCCTTTGGAAAATTGTTAGGTTATCCTGCCTTATCAATCATACACTGTTCTATGCTTTTTCTCCCAAAATGTCACTTAGGTTTATTTTAACCCTATATCTAGCATGCATTTTACAAGCTATTTCCCACTTACTCTTTCTAGTTAAGGCAGAATGTTGGCTCTGGTGTTACCAATGGTACTACAGGAATCTATTCACTCTACTGTAACATACATATCATCCCATACCATAATTCAGAACTGCCCCACGTATGGGAAAGAAAGAAAAGACTTTACAGGGGAACTATATTTCTTCTTGCGGGAATAAGTTGCGCTTCAAAAGCTAAAGGCCCAATTCTGGAGTCATTATTCAGACAAAACACTTCATAGTTTCAGTGGCAACACAGTTGGAATAAGGGTAGAACTGTGTTCTTAAAGTCTTAAAATTCCAAATCTTTTAAGTGTCCTTAAATCGGACAGGAAGATGCTGGTCTGCAAATTGAATAGAGTTTCTGTTTGTTTGTCTTAGGGTCTATCTGTAATGACAGAAAGGTTTGCCAGTCCCAGAATGCCTTGCTTTGGCTGGTATCTGATTTCTGAACTCACTTCCATTCTGATATTCCCCACGGTATCTTACTGACTAGTTTATCTCAGAGTGGCATGCAGTGCCGGCGCATGCTACTGATGCAAGCACGCTACTACAACTTTAACAGGCTAAAAAAAGAAAAAAAGCTTTAGCTTCTTAGTTATACAAAGAAATGATGCAAAAAACCATTGAGCAGCACTAACTCACAGACTAATTACAAACTAAATTGTGCTATATATTAGTATAAAAACATGTTTTCGTAAGAATGGCACTGGTTCAGAAGGAATTAGGACTTCTGTCTTGGTTCCGTTCGGTCCACAGTGAAAGCATTGTAGTACAGGCCTGCCCTGTTGCCTGAGCAACTTGTGACAGTGGCTTTTGGCCACAACCCCTTCCCTTTCTTCCCTTTTTATATCCGCCACTGTTGGTACATTCTGGGAGTAGCCCGGGTCAGGTCTGGTCATCTTTCCTAACGTGGCACCAGAATAGTTCGTTCTCATCCTCTGATATTTTCTTAATATCGTTAACGTTTCCCTCTTCTAAGCTCTCAAAGCCGGTCAGTTTTAAGGATCATCTTCTCCCGTAGACACCGTGAGGCGCATTGCTACTGGTAGGTGGTCTGTCAAGCCTGCTAACTGGGTAATAAAGCTGAACTCCTCCACTTCCTGCAGAAGGAAAACAGAAGTAAGAAAGAAGGAATTGGAAAACTGATCTGTTATACCACACACCAGGACTCAGCTTTTACACCTCTCTTTAGTTTACTTTGAACTGCGTTACTGTATTAGTAGACGTACGGGACCAGTCCAGCTTGGCTGGGCTAATGGTGAACTGTCTGCCACACAGGGCGTGTCAGTGTCGTGCAGTTGGTGAGGTGAACCATTTATACAGTACACAGTTAGTTGCACTAGTCGGGATGAAATCTGTTGTACCTTTTCTTTCCGTTTACGGTAACACCTGTGTTACCTGTAGTGCTGCAGTAGGTAATCCATGTGCGTAAGGAGGTACTCACCTGGGAGAAGGGGCTGGCTGTACCCTACTAGATATGGCATGCAGCTAAAAAGGAAGCCTGTCTTTGTTAGATTGAGGTGTTAAACTTTGTGAGAAATTAAGGCGATCAGGAACCCTGCTCCTTGCGTCTCTGAATTACAGCCTTTGTTCTGGCAACATTTCATAGGACCAAATTAAAGTTCCGTAGGAAATACCGCCTGCTTCCCAGCTTCTGAAAGCTGGATGGAGCAACCTTAACGCCCACTTGATGCAATGTAGTTGTCCCCTCCTATGGCCAGGTACTTAACTTTGCCAGTACTTTGGGAATTGCTTGCAGGAAGCACAGGTTTACCATACAGATGCACCATGGGCATTTGTGCATCTGAAACGGGAAGCCTGAAAAGAATGTAGCTGCTAAGCTGCTGTGTCCACAGAGCACATCAAACAGAGCACAGACAGACTGATGTATCATGCACTAAGCTATGTTGAACTGCTCTACTGCCTGCTCTTCTGTGGCAACTGCAGTGGGGTACGGTAAATAAGTGTGCACTAGTTTCTCATTTTCATTGTGGAATGCTGTATAGGCCAAGGTCCTACACCAGGAAGCAGACAGTGCGCTACAAGTTCTCATTCTGGTTAGCCCGTGTCAACTTCTGCCTGCACATCACAGATTTGTAACTTCGGTAGGTTTTCACAGGCATAATAAAGAACATCCAGACACTTGAAAAGATTAAAAAAATATTCAGACTGCTGGCATGGAAAGCATCAGCCAAAACACTTGGTCTGGCAAAAAGCTGGGGAAGGGAAACAAGGGGGTTTGTTTGTTTGTTTGTTTTTGAAGAGCAGCGCATCTACTGGTGTTGCTACCAGAATCCCTAAATTTGCCTTAAATTTGTTTATGTAATAGGTTTACAAACTCGGTACTTGCATGCAAAAGTAGAAGACAGCAAAGCAGCAGGCTCTTCTTGGAGTATGAATTTGAACCTGAGCAGAACAGGCTACAGTGCCATCCAGACAAGTTTTTTGTGTGAGTTACAGCTCTTTTTGTCAACTCTGAAACTCACCACTTTCCATTCCAGGTAGAGACCTTCTTCTGTATAGAGCATATAGTCAATCCTCCTCCCGTTTCCTTTCAATGACGCCTTCCTCCCCTTTTGACTGGAACTGTGGTTCTTGCTGGTGGGATAGACTAAGTATCCTTTCCTTCCTTCTTCACTTTCCAGCACCCTATGTCATTAAAAAACAAAACAAGCACTTTAGATGTTTGCTCGTTCTGTCCCTTCGTGCATTACGCTAGATTCTCTCCCAGTCGCTGGTAAGGGTAATACCTGCCCGGAAGGACTGTTAAACTCGTAAAGCACGCCTTCTTTCAAATGTGTTTCCTGGTATGAGGCTGTACTAACTGCTGGCAGTGCTCTTAAAGACTCATGGCGGCTTTGGCATCGCTGGTGCTGTACTGGTGGACCTACCCTTGTAGCCAGGAGATGAAACATCTGAGCGGAGGACCTTGCCTGCCTGCTATCTGTAGTATATTGCAGCCCACAGCCCCTCCGCTGATTTCCAGTGTTGCTGAATCCAGCAGAGGAGGAAACTGTTTCATGGATTACTTTAGAACAAACCTGACTACTTTGATAGAAACCTCTCCATTCTGATCAGAGCAACCCCTTCTGAAATAAGACAACCAGCTTTACAGACAGGGTATGGATGAGGAATGGTTTTCAGGAGCACACATTTGGGCACGTGGTAGTTGGTTTTGAGCAAGCCTCAGCATCAGATTACTGTGGCTTGGACCCCAAGCTCTTACTTCACTAGTAATGACAACCTAATTTATTTGATTCCTGTATGTGACACTCTTCAGACTCCTCTACAGAGACGGACGTACTCACCGGGTGTGTTAGTACTGCCCTCATCTTGCACGGAGATTACCCACCCCAAGACCTTATACAGAGGCAGTCAAAAATAAGAACCAGTTTTCTAGGTACCAGTCTTGCTGTTCAGGCAAATAAGCTGCAGCTCTCCCATTAAAATTGTTAGTTTGGGTGCTTAAACCTTAACAGTAGGTTTTATACAGAAGACTATTAAGGCCCTGAGCAACTTGATTTAACTTTGCGGTTAGCCCTGCTTTGAACGTGACTTTGGACCAGAGAACCCACAGAGGTCCCTGTCGCTCTATTTTTACAATAGTTCTGTGCTGCTGTGCTGTTCTCTATTGCTTTGCCATTGTATTGGATTTAAAAGGAAACTTGGTTTACCTTCTTGTATTCTATTTAAAAGAAAGATCTACCAAAGGAGCGCTAAAGGCAACAGACACAACTGTGCATGCAAAAGCAGGAGTTGCACACGGTAGCTGCCTGTGTAGGGTATTATGCAGACAGTTAATATCAAGTTCAATCACAGCTGTTTTGCGTGGTAACCACATGTGCAGTGAGGGACAGATCAGGTTGTGTTTTGCTGTCTATATCTGGCTCAAAACGCAAACAAACTGCTTTCAAAACCACCTCCTTGAAAATCATTTTCCTTTACTTACCTGCCAAAACCTGAGCTCAAGGTTCTGTGGTTTCCCTTGTAAGAGTTGATTACGCCATTAAGCTACATCATCAACTGTCGCAGGAGAAACACTGAGCCATGAACTTGGGTCCTAGCAGGTACAAAGCCTTTAATTTCACCTCGGAAAAAAATAAGATATCTTTGATCACCCAGTTTTTAAGACTTGACTTTGGATGGGGTTTATGGGGTTGGGTTTAGGAATTTTTTTTTAATGCATGCACGTGAGAGTACATAATGAAGGAAAACCAAGAGACAAACACCAGACTCCGGTGATGTGTTTTAATGTTTGAGCTTCAAGTGGTTTCTTTGTCAAATTTTGTTTCTTTGGAAGGATCTGAATGGTGGCAGAGGGGACACAGCACTTGCTACAATCGATTAGGTGTCAGTAGTGTTACAATCTGTAAGTTTGGGTCAGTTGATACATACAAGAAGTACTTTATGTGCCTTCAAAAGGCAACAATGGCAAAATTCTGGTCATGTAGTTATTTAATCAGAACTTTTCTTACCCCCCTGTGGACTTAGTGAGGTATTGAAGGTTCTTAGGAGTTTATTGTAGCCAGTTTATGAAAGTAAGCTTCCTTTTATGAGTTATTGAGTTTTAGACTGTCATCTAATAACTCGCCTTAAATTAGCTTACTGTCTGCACCCTGTTGGCAAGCTGATTCTACAGAGAGTTACTGCAAATGATTCACTTCTGAAATTCTTTTTCTAGGTTTAAGAAAGCAAGCTCTTTGATGGGACTGACCTCTTTCAAAAATAGTATTTATATTTGGCAAAGCTAATTAAGTAACAAAGTAGAAGAAACTGCTGATTAGCACTGCAGTATTACTGCAAAAAAAGTATTATTTGCATTAATTTAAAAGATGAATTTGTTTTAGCTTCAGTGTTGTCCTTTTAAAAGTCTGTGATGCTGGGTATTCACTTAACCTGCACAACTGCTCACGGAAGGGAAATGTTAATTCCAAATACATGAGGAAGATAAATTGTAAATGCGCATGCATCTGCTTCTGACTAAAACTTGCACCACTTTGTATGCGATGGTTTGCTGTTTGTCTCTACAGGAAGTAGATACAAGTACTGGACATCCGGCTATGCCGTGCTAACAGTTAAGTGCTAAGTACTTAAGTGAACGTAACTAATCATGAATGAGTGAAACCTGAATTTTGTCAGAATAATTGTCTTAATTCATAGGACACAAAGAAAGGGAGGAGAAAAAGTAATATGAACTTATTTTTTCCTTGAAAGACTGTCAGTCCCAAATAACTCCCAAGTTTAAGTACAAAAATTCTGCCACGCAGCTCTCCGGCCAATTGGTTTGTAGTGCTGACCGCAGTGGCAACAAAGGAGCATGAAGAGCAGTGTATGTAAGGGAGCTGTAAAGCAAAACTCACTCCCTCATCATAAAGCTCGAGGGACCTTCTCTCATTCAGGCGAGAAGTACCCAAGTTAAGGAAGACTTTTCTTACTGGTGCTGCAGCCTGTTGTCCGGAATTGTGAGCCACTGTCCAGCAGTGGAGACTGGAAAAATTTGCATTTAAATCTTGTTTCTTAGCTGTGCTGTAACGTGCTCTCCTGTGCCAGACTCTATTTGGGGTTTAGAGGCAAAGATGGGCTTATTCCAGTGCTTTGCTTGAAGGTGACAATCATCCTTGTGAGATGAGATTATTTGTGTGCATCTCATGAAGCCTTTCTGAGCAGAAGCTTGTGTGGCTTCCAGCACTGTGGTAGGGCCCAGATTGTTACATCTAGCTTATTAATTGTTCTATAATTATAAATGACTTGCTCATTATTTGTACCAAGTACGTTGTTCTAGTCCGATGTTTTACGTATGCTGTACTTAACATGAGAGATATTTAAGAACTAGTTGTTCTGCTTTTATGGCCTAATTAGTTTAGTAATGTGAACTACTTTATTTATAAAGTAGAGTGCTGATGAAGAAATAATTCTCTGCATAGCTTACACTGTCAATTTAAAAGTCTGTTTTAAATGTCAGTAAAGCTTGATCAATGTTTACTATTGGAAAATTTGAAAATGAATCAATTTTAGGCTGTACCCTGTTTTGCTGTGTACATGAATCATACCTGTTGGCTAGACAGTGCTCCTCAGCTTCTGTGCTATTTAACATTTAAATGTCTTTAAAGCCCAGATTCCATCAATGCCTTTAAATTTTACTGAACTTACTGGCAGTTTTTATGTTTACCAGTCCCTTGCAGAGATGGGAGGACAGGCTCTCTTGGCCTCTCGTGGAAGTGATGGTTCCTGTAATATATGAGCACGTCTACATAATGTCCACCTGCAGATCCCTGTTTCCCTGCAGATCTGCATAAAAAGCTAGGGGAAATTCTGGTCTAACACAGGGGGGGTTAATCAGTTTAAGAGAATTATAACATATTGCAGAAAACTGAAAGCCACATTTAGTAGGCAAAAAGTCTTACGTATATTCTGTTACCAACTCTCAAGAATATTTTCCAGTTATCTCATACCGAGGTTCTGTACATACACAGTGGGAGGCAGAAGTAATACTCTTAAAATCTTCAGTGATCATTTGGTGGCTCTTCGTCTATCAGTCATGTATTTGCCAGTGGAACTTCATTGCTGAATACAAGTAACTCTTCAGGGAATAAAACAAAATACCCCAGAAGTAATTTGGTGACAGATTGTCTCAAAAGGCCACTTAAAAACACAGAGGGTTTTTTTGGTTTTGGGGTTTTTTAATTTTTTTTTTTTTTTTTTTTTTTTTTAAAGAGCTCCAAGCCTGCCCTGGAACCATAAAATAGAACATTACACCCACATACAGATTTGCATTTGCAAACTTGATTATAGGGCCAAATTACCTTACTTTTGCTTTCCAGAAATCCCTTTCACATGTACCAAATTCACATTTTCAATACGTGAATAGAAACGCCTGGAAATTTTGCAGGCTCTGGAATGCGCAAAGCATGACTTGCTGTAACAAATCCTTATTCTGGATATAAACTAGATACAAAGAAGACTTCAAGCGGTAGCCTCACCTAATACATTCAACTAAGTGTCCATCTATACCATGCAGTGTACTGTACTTCGTGAGTAAAAATGCCAACATAAACTGCCTATAGAATGTACCATTCCATTATGTGTGTTAACTGAAGCATCTGCGCAGACTCATTAATTCAAATAACTTTACCTCTTCAGTATATTTTGGTGATGAACAGCTAGAACATCTTTCATAGTTAGTCATGATAATATATTTAGTCCATTAAACTAGCCTTCAAGGTAGAGAAGGTGCAAAAAGGATTATCACATTCATTAAGGGCTGCTCTAAAATGTACAAAGCTTATTAATTTCTCTCCACTGGCATATTATTTAGCAAACAGTACAGATACTCAAGAAACTTATCTTAAGATTTCTGCAAATTAAGTTTCTTTGTATTTCTCATAAGTCCACCAGCTAAAACCAAAGATACCTGTTTCTCAGTATCAAACACTCCTTAAAAGTAATGCCGCACTGGTATCACTGATGGATATTAAGCCATATTCCTAGTTATGTCTGATGTGCTATTTAATTCCTCTTTATATTTGTGAGATTGCTTTTTTAGGTGTATCGAATTCCGCAAGCTTTCTACAATGGGTATTTAGTTGTTGGGTTGGGGGTGGTGTTTTAAACTTTATGGGTTTTTTATTTGAGGAAAACTACATTTCCTTTTGTTGCTGTCCTTTACAGTGCCGTGACCACGGAGCCGGCTGCCCGCAGAAAGCCTTTCAGACAAGCTGTCCGCACCCCCTTTTTGGTAGTGCTCGGAGTTTCTTGTCCTATGGGCCTGCCCAGGTAGGACCAACTCTAGAGACATAAGAACACTGACTGCGGTTGCACTCCTCTTTTCACCCATTGACGCCAATTCTGTTAGACTTAGGGAAGCAGCCACTTTTCCTTCCCTTTTTTTCCTCTTCCCCAAGTACCCCTGAGTAAAAAAATTATGTTTGGTTTGTTTGGTGGTTTGTTTTTTTTGGTTTGGGTTTTTTTTTCAGTCCACAAACCACCCCTCAATTTGTGAAATGTTAAATAGCAAGCGATGAACTGGCTTTTTAAGGAATTGTCTAAAGCACGTGGGAGGATTAGGAATTGCGTACTTCTGTAGGTTATCTGGAGTGCACACTTCTTCATCATATAATCCTTCAGGATCCAACAAGGTACCTGTGAACAGAAAGGGAGATGTGACTGTCCCAGCATACCTCCTGTGACTTGCCTCTCGGGAAGCTTCCGGGGGCACAGGTGTGTGAGGACAGCATCCATGTGGGGGAGAGGGGACCGCGCTGACTGAGAGTGCTTTGTGTTCACTTCGCTATCCAGACCTCCCTACCGCCTGCCATCTTCCAAAATGTTGCCTCCGCCCTTCCAGTTTCTCAGCCCCAATGTCTCTGATTTTTTTGTTTTTCTGCTACAACAGAGTAAAGCCACATTATTAAACAGTTCCACATTCTTACCTTTAGTATCTTCACAGTTAGAATTGCTCCTCTAGAGAAAGTCTAATTCCTGATCTAAAACTTCACCAAGTTCAACTGAGTTTCACCAGGTATGAGTATCTCGGAGTTCCATGAAATCTTTTATAAGGTGAACCCTACCAGTTCATAGTGGTGTTGAATTGCTTTGTTAGATCACATCCTCACTTACAGTATTTATAGAACATCAAATGGAACATTCTGATCAAAAGCTGCAGGCTTTCACTGCATGCAGAAAGTACAGAAACAATAATTTGGCTCCCCCCCCCAAGTAATCTAGAGATTATTTTAAAAGTAGAATAGGTGTGGGAAGGCATTCAAGTAGTTTGATGCATAAATTCTAGAATGTGGACTGAAGTTTGAGATCTCTGTTTGGTTCTTAATTACAATTCAGCAAGACACTGTTACGGTTTATAAAATATATGCTGCAGAAACACCCCTTGTAAATACCTGGTCTCCACCAAATTCTTCCTGCCAGTTAGCTGAACTACCTGCTGCTTATAGATGTCGTGTGAGTGACAGACAAGTACATGTTCAGACACTGATAGCTAGAGAAGGTCTTACCAATTGCCCATGGTTTATCCTCCCCAGGACCGATTCGACATGGGTCTTTGTAGTGTGTAAACAGAGAATGCTGTTGCTCCAGCTTGTCCTCTGGAGGGAAAGAACAAGCCCAAGAAAAGGCACATCAGCTAAGTGTTGTAAACCTGTGGACAACTCTGTGGTCTGCCACAACGGAAAAGGCAAGTCCTCCTTCCTACTCGGTATGCATATATAGGGTGGATTTGAACCAGTTCAGTAGTAGCTTTACTGCACAGCAGTATCTTGTCTCGATTAGAAATTCCAACAAGTGCTTGCTAATAACAGTGCTTTCCTACAAAGTCTTTCTATGAGAGACATTTTTTGGTAGTTTCTAGCTGTAAACTGAAGTGAAGGGTTTCCAACTATTTCCTTACCCTGCCATTGACTTTGCATTGCTTGCACTGGTACAAAACTTTTGTTGCAATAGATCACACAACGGAGAATCGGACTGACTTCACAATGTAAATGGCTGTTTGTGGGTGTATATACATATCTCAGTAAGTTTGAAGATAAAAGCTTGTGCTTTACATGCTTCAGAAGAATTCACTGAATGTTTTCCAAGCTATAATAGATAAGAGAAAGGACAGGCAATTCATAATTTGCTTGGGATACTATCTAAAGCATTAAAGACATTCTAAACATAATCAGCACGGCCCATCTAAGACAGATTAAAATTTTGTCATGATTAATTTGTGACTGTGGCACTGATGGTGACATGTCAGACTTAACCCATCTGACTGGAAGGCTTTTTATCTTATGCTAAAAGGTTTAAAAACATAATAGACTTTTACACAAGTCAGTCCAAAGCAACCTGACAGTACCTAACTTTCTAATGATGTTCCCAATAAGTGTGAATTCACTGTATGAATGTTGTCATAATGTTCTGTAGGGCTGGAGGGGAAAACTGAGTTGCAGAAAATTTGTCATAAGCATAAGGTTGCTCATGGACCTGGAGATCTTTGAAAACCGTACTGTCAATACATCTAAGAATAGAAGCTTGATATTCACCGAAACATTAATTACTTGCCGTATCAGTCTGTGGAGTGGGAAAGAATACAGAAAATCATTTACAGAGTTACAGGCAGCTGATTATTGTTTAAAAAAAAAGTGATCTTAAAATGTTAATTCTCTGCAATGCTAACAAATGTCCCTAAAACAAGGAGTAATGTAAAAATGGAGGAGAAGACTTTAAAACATTGCATTAATCTTGCCTAGTGCATGAAGAAAGAAAGCAATCTAAAAATAAAAAAATGAAATAGCCAGCTTAATTTCAGTTTCCAGGCTGAGTGAATTTTAAAGGGGAGGAGGATGTAAATAAACTGCAGAGATAGCAAAAATAAAATGGTTTTTTATAACCTACTTTTCAATCCTCTTTAGTAGTGGTTGCAACTATTAGTTACAACTATTAGTTACAAAATAATACAAAATAGTTACAAAAAAATTAGCAACAAATAGTTACAACTATTATTTGCAAAAGCAAATAGTTGTTTTTACTTTTGCTTTAAGAAGACGGGTCACAACAGCATTAATTATACTCTGTACTTCTTGTGCAAGATCTTGGTTAGAGTGCCAAAACTTCCCAGGCAGGGAATACTGACCAGATGTTCTGCCTCACAGCTTGACTCCCGTCCCTCTCTCTCCCCATGCCGCACAGCCCCACTCACTCTCCATTTGCAGTCTGACTGGGCAGCCTCCCCTTTGGTATGCAGCAGATGATTGTTTATTTCCTTGATGGACATCTTTGCCTCCAGGCCACTCCATCCACCAACAATATTGCAAGTGAAACGGTCAAATCACAGCAGATGGGTCCGCTTGTATCCCCCAGCTTCTGTTTCCCTCCATCGGGACTGCTGCAATTGCCTCCTCAGCCTGTCTGCGTAGCAGCTTGGCTGGCTGAGGACCTGTTACTGACCACATTTCTTCCTTCCTTCCTTCCCCAAAAACTCACTGCCACTGCTACCATTATATTTTATCCTAATAATGTGTTTAACTACAGTATTCTGTAGCCGTTACCACGTATTGTTCACCTCCACAGTGCATAATGGGTTCTTTTACCATTTGGCGTGCTTGCCAGCACCTTCTCTGACCATTCTGAGTTTACTTTGGATCATATAGTTGTGACTGATTTATTTTTTGTATATACGAGCTAGAAAACAAACAGCAGAAGGGCTGTTTTGGGTTGGTGGTCTTTTCTACCCAAATAAATGTTTCTCCAGCTTTGCTAAAATCTTCCATTACAAGTGTCTGACACAAGTCATGAGATCAGAGAATACTAGTTATTTTTAAGATCAGACAGTGCTTGTTTTTTGTTTCTTAAAAGTATTTTTGGTTCAGTTGTTGCTCTCAGCCTCAGTTACCTAGGCTTCTTATGAAGACTACAGAATTCACACTGGATGCTGTTCACAAATTCACCTGTTAATACACAAACTCTGGTCTGAATTGCTGAATAGCGCAGCCTGAGCTCACCTGCACACTGCACATCTCCCTGGTAACACAGCACAGACGCCATCCCTCTGACGAACCCCCCCACTGTACCTGCCTTGTGCTCTACATCGCTCAGCACTTCAGTTTTGGCCCAGTCACGCAAAAGGCCTTTTAGCCATCAGCCTTGCGGCAGGCTGGCCGCTGGCCACCGCTGATCCATTTGCCAGCTCCAAACCAGCAGTCGATTGCCATGGTATAATGCCAGCAAGGAGCTCTGCCTGGATGCCTGAGCTGTGCCGAGCGGGAAGGCAGAGAGGACACACAAACAATGCTCTGCACTCTATGTGGGCAATTTAACTGTTAACAGAGCATAATATTTACGTTTGGAAAAGGCGACCATCTCTGTGAACTCACCACCCATTAATTATGGTTTTGTGGAGTTCTTTTTCTAGTACCCTCAGCATCCAAATATAGAAAAAAAAACCCTAAAAATTTATTAAAATTAAAAAAAACCCAACAAAAAACCAAAAAAACCCAGAAGTACACAGCATCAGTTAATTTTTTCCAAGACTGATTCAGCAATGTTTAGTTCTCTCTGCAGCATTAATTATTTTTAATTGCATGAATTTACTGCTTTTTCTTCACAAAAATCCTATAATATACATGTCTTCCATTAGTAACTAAAATTCTAGGACAACAGGTGTCTACCTAATTCAAGTAAAGCTAAAACCACTGGATCTGTCCTCATTAGTGCTACCGCAAGTCACAAATTATGGCCCTTTGGGTGTTAAAAAACATCATGCTTAGTAACTCAGCAGAGCTCATAAGCGTGAGCTACTCTCCTTGGCTCAACTCAAGGCTAGTACCTATTTTAGAAGTGTCTGTAGCAATTAAGTCTCTTCCTTGCAAGAGTCAGTCACAACTTAGTATACTGCTATAACCCACAGGAATCTAGAACTTTCTTATTCCTTTTTGGAATAGGTAGACACCAGGAAAAGGAAAACCTTGTCTTACCAGAGGAGCAGTTATCAAAGTTGAGATCTCCACAGATGACATCAAAAGCCACCAGCTCCTCTGGATTGGCTGTACTGGAGGAGGAGGTAGATTTTCTGAATTCAGACAGCCAATCTTGAAGCATATCCAGTTGCTCACATCGAACAGTAGTATCTCCTGTAGCAAACAAACAAACAAACAACCAAACCAAGAACTAAGACCTCCTTTTAGCACGTTACTCAGCCACATATTAGTTGCTAAGCTATTGCTAGACATCCTGAGAAAAAGGGTGCAAGATAAAAAAATGGTGTGGCTAATAGCATACTCGGTACATAGTGCTTAGCCCATTATGAAGTTCATTAGGAACCACACTTTTTGATGATATAAATATCTCCTTCTGGGATCAATCATACTAGGCACATCTGAAGAAGTAAGACGACAGGGCACCTGTGCTGCCGACAACCAGCCAAAATGATGACGTTTCTAGCCACAGGAGGAGGAGGATCTGATGCGCTACGTTTATAATCAGGAGTTCAGCATTAAAATCCTACTTCAGACAAAACTGGACAGCATGTTCTGGGGTAAACCACTCGATCCTTCTTTGCTTTGCTTTCTAATTTTTAAAAATGAAAAATTTAACTTCCAAGTGTTACTAGTAAATATACATCAATGGTAAATTCAGCTTACTCCTACTGTACTAGTCCATCCAAGGAGCGGTTCTATTTGTGTTCAAGTAAGAATGCCTAAACTGGAAGTATTTTTTTGTATTTTTAAAGGTATGCGTAGATGCAGGTTTAGGTAGGCAGTACTTCAGAAATAAAGAACCAGATCCTTTTCACCTTGCAGGGAAGTTACAGTAGGCCACGTGCTGAGGATGTGCCCCCTTTTTATAGGGGTGATATGAAAGGGTTGAGATTGATTGGTTGCCAGATATTTTTTGTTTGTGAAACCATCTGACACATAAAACAGCTCTTTAATTATAGCAACTAACCACACTTAATTTCAAGCACATTAGGTGACATGAAGCCTAAGAAAAAATTAATTACTGCCTCTCTTAAAATGATCACAGCAAAAGCTTGATGTGGGGAAAGAGCAGGAAGAGGCACATTCTAGAAATAATTGTTTACCATATTGTCTTTCCTTTCCTTTTGTTTTCACTGTACCTATAGTTAACAGTTATAATTTTGCTTGTTTCAGACTTGAAATGATATGTCAAGTGAGAACAGCATTACTTTTCTTCAAAAACTTATTCTGACTACAATTTTATTTTAACCTAATTTACTACTTTGTGCTAGCTATTGAAAAGGTGTAAAACACAATTAGAACCATCAGTTATGTATGTCCAAAGCTGCTTTCAGCAGCCACTGTGGAGATGGTGAATATTTAAGTCTACATCCTCACAGTTTGTTCATCACTCGTCTCAACTGCAGCTGTCACCAGCACTCCTTATAGACTTTCAAATTGTGAACTCCGCAGCACACTGTAACTGCGCTAGCATACAGACAAACTTTAGGTGTTAGGACTACCGCTATCAACCTGGGAAGGGCTGGATTTTCAAGAACATCTTGGGGGGGGTGGGGGTATTAAAACTACGGTTAAATACAAACTGAGTCAGAAATATTCAACCAAGCATGATTTGATATAATCCTAAATAATTAAAAGAAATAGTGAAAAGAAGAGACATGTGTTGGGATGGGGAAGTAGGAGGAAGTAATGAGGGAAGAGGAAAGTTGAGTTTCTTTACCAGTTGGGCTGTAATATAGAATCATAGAATCATAGAATCATTAAAGGTTGGAAGAGACCTCCAAGATCATCGAGTCCAACCATCAACCCAACAACACCATGCCCACTAAACCATGTCCCTAAGGTACAAGTGCTTCCTGGATCTATTTCCTAACCTACGGTTTCTAGTTACTTGTACCTCAAGTTCACACAGTACCCTAATCACACAGCTTGACACAAATCCAGACCAATATATTCTTGGGGGTTACAACAGCACAAGAAAGTCCTACAGTGAAGACATAGCTCGACAAAAGCACAAGGAATAGGTCATGTGGAATAAATACAGCCTTGAGCAGGTGACACTAACCACAAAAGGTGTGCGTGACTAACATATACGTTCTGCTTAACTAAAGATACAGACGAAATTACAGATTCACAGAAGTGTGAACTTGACAGGCACCTCTGGAGATCATCTAGTCCAACCCCTCTGCTCAGGCGGGGTCACCTACAGCAGGTTGCTCAGGACCATGTCCAGTCAGGCTTTGAATATCTCCATGGTTGGAGACTCCATAACCTCTGGGTAACCTGTTCCAGTGCTTAGTCACCTTTGCAATAAAAAACGTTTTCCTTTGTTTAAAGACATTTCTTGCATTTCAATTTGTGCCCATTGCCTCTCGTCCTGTCACTGGGCCCCACGGAGGAGAGTGCCTCCATCGTCCTTACACCCTCCCCTCAGGTATTTACACACTTTGGTAAGATCCTCCCTGAGCCTTCTGCCGAAGCTGAACAGTCCCAGCTTTCTCATTCCTGGTGAAGCTTATTCAAATTAATGGACTTGCCTCCTTCTGCAGCATCTAGATGTTTCTATCCTGTCTCATCTCCTCAGGCCAGTACTTTCTTCTGGCCTGCCTTTGTTTCCTCATAACTTTTAAGCATGATGCTTGTTGACAAGAACACAGTAACGTCTTGCTCCCTACAAAGTCCCGATTATATAAACTGCTTAACTGTTTTAAGACCAGCATTTACATCCCTGAACTGTCAAGGTTTTTTTGCATTTTCTGTGAATTATCCATCTAGCATGGCTTCACTAGGATGAGTGATAAAATAATGTGGCCATTACCATATGGGCATAAAACTCAGGCAGCAACCTGTCAGAGACCAGCGTGAAGAATGTAGCAAACCCACTTAACTGAAACACACAAAGGTGAAGTTCTCCAAAACAGAAAACTCTTGAGAAAAACAACAGACAGACAGGCAAAAACATTTTAGGAGGATATTGTGAAAGGTGTCTGGTAACATGCAGCGCTATTACTAAAAAATCATTAACTACATAGTGACATACATCTCCCTCGGTAAGAATGCTGAGCCTTTGAGGCAGCACTGTACACCAGATAACCTCAGGGCTCTGCAGAGAAAGAGTAGCCTTGGAACTCTAGAAACAGATGACTTTCATTTCTTTTTAGAAAAAGTGTAGAACTTGTGATAGTCTGGCATCTCTGATTATCCCCACTAGAGGTCATAGAAGTAATTGCACTTCAGTACACTACGTGGAATGTGTGCAATGAAGTGAGCTACATTTCCATGACAAAAGATGGGATCCTCTAACGCGGCTCGAATAGAACTGTTTTCTGAGATTAATATTAAACTAACCGTATCCAGCTTACTGCAGCTACACAGCAGGTACTGCATGTATCTGTATGCAGAAGTTACCAGCTCCCAATGATTGATAGCTTTGGAGATGAAGATAACTGAACTAATCAGACACGCAGGTAGAGGAGAAGCCAAACCTGAATCCAGAACAATGAGGGGAGCAGACATTTCAGAAACTGCTGCTGAAATGAAATAGCATCAGTAAATATTAACAGAAAAGAACAAGGTAGTAACTCCCCGCAGTAACATTCCACTTCTCCTTCTTCCAGCCTTCAGCTCTAATTAAATGTTCAGACAGAATCATTGATCTGATTGACTGCCACCAGTGATTAACCAGAGATACAGATTTGTGCTAATTGTTCTACAGTCTTTTCCTCAGTAACTGGCCTGGAAAAATGCAAATAATTGTGTTGTGACTGGTTCTTGCAGTCAGCATTTCCAAATTCTCTGCAAGTTCCCTTCAGCTTCAAATTTTGCGGAAGGATGAAAGGGCAGTGTGGGAAACTTCAGCCAGCATAAATAAATACTTCATCTCTGTTTGTTATAGAATAATCATACTTGCCCATTCCATTCACTTCGGAAATGCTGAAGTGAAATCCTGGCTTTAGTTAGAACTGCAGGTAGGTACTATACACTGAGGAAGACTGTTTTGTCCTACTCTGGAAGATGTTAGAAGGAGCACTACGGTGGTTGAACAAGGCAGCTGACAGGCCGAGTCAGAGGAAATTAAAAGGTCCAGTGGAGGTTTTTAAACCAGAGTTCTCAGCACTGATAGGCACTACGGGATATATTGGCAGGGAACCTGGGGAAGGTGAGCAAAAAAAGCTTGTAAAGCATAGGATGTAAAGCCTAGCCAAAAGGAAAAACTGTTTCCAAGTCACAACCAAAGCCTTCAGTGTAGCCGTGATACAGGCTGTGTCACACCTGACTGTGTGACAGATTAAGCAGACCCCTACACTTCTAACATACTTAATCCAGGATAGGCCGGGAAAACAAAATAAAATAAAACCAAACCTCCAGAAAACCCAAAACAACAACAAAAAAGCCCCTTTTGTTCTGCGGAGTTACTTTTCAGCTAGGTCAGGTCCCCAGTCAAGTGCAACACAGCCTACAACAGCTGTGTTCACACAACTGAGAAGAGGGGGCAAGGGCAGGCTGCCACGGTGTGGATACGCCAGCTTTGCTATTTCAGAAACATATGTGGAATCGCTGCCTAAGGATGCTTAGCACTGAAGTTACTCCTGATTGCACAGTCAGAATTTCAAACACTGAGGGATCTCTCTCAGTCCTGAGCCGAGTTCTGCTTAAGCTGTGTGTAGGCTTGTGGGACCTGAAACTGGTGCTAGTGAAGCGTGAGTTGCCAGTACCTGTACTGCTAATGGCTAGATTCACACAAACGCAAAACAGGGACGTGAATGAGGTTCTGAGATGGCATCCAGCACGCTACCTCAAGCCTGGGCTGGAACAGCTTGAGGCTTACTCTGTTTTGATGGCTTGGTGGGGTGTCTGAAAGGCATGACTCAAAGGGACCTGGGAGGTGGATGGATTCTAGGCAGCAAAACCTGTCCAGAACATTAATCACTGACTAATTGAAAGACATAAAAGAACCATGTAAACTTAACAGCCCCTTGGAAAATAATTACATTCAAGTCTCATTAAAGGATCCCTTCATTTGTCACTGAAATGCAGCTATTTCCACAGTGGAAACGAAGAGCTGCTACACAGCACCATTCAGTAATAGGTAGAGAACTGAGAGGATTGGCGGCAGACTTTTTAGCAGGGCCTGTTGCGACAGGACAAGGGGGAATGGCTTTAAACTAAAGGGGGGTAGGTTTAGACTAGATAGAAGGAAGAAATGTTTTACGCTGAGGGTGGTGAAGCACTGGCCCAGGTTGCCCCGAGAGGTGGTGGATGCCCCATCCCTGGAAACATTCAAGGTTGGGTTGACGGGGCTCTGAGCAACCTGATCTAGTTGAAGATGTCCCTGCCCACAGCAGGGGGGTTGGACTAGATGGCCTTTAGAGGTCCCTTCCGACCCAAACTATTCTGTGATTCTATGATTCTATAAGTTACATCTAATTCTAAAGTTTTACTGAGAAAGGTGAATGTCAGGTCTGAAAAAATAGTAATTGCTCAGAACAGAGTTGAGCCAGAACATCTCTTGAAAAAAGCGTCAGTAGTTCGTCCCTGACCATAAGCAGTTGGATCCTTTCATTCTATACTCAGATGAGTATCACAACTGTCAAGTGTAAGTTTATGTATCCCAGAAGGGAAGCCAAATTGCACTCAGCCATGCATGACAAGATGATTTAAATGTCTAACCTTTTAAACAGTGCTTGTTTTTATAGATACCACATCTTTACATCGTCGAACTGTTTTTTGGACAATTTTTTTAATGTGTGAAATGTTATGAATCAGATGATACAAATCAGAAAGCACAGCTCTGCCAAACTTACGAACTTTAGTTTTCCATTTCATTACATAAACTAATATGATGTATCAAAGGACAGTCAGACTCCTAAATCACTGTCTGCTCTATTTGAATGTAGTTTGAACTAGATAAGCCTAAAAATAAGAAGGAAGAACATAAGTAGGAAAATGAAAGGTTGCGTTTTGCCCTTGAAGAAGCTTTAGGCTGACGGTGAAAATAGAACATTACTTCCCCATTCTTCCCTCCCCCCTCTTCCTCTTCAATGTTTTATGGATTTCACAACGTGGTTCTCAAAGACTACATGACCAAGTTGTAAAAAGGAACAGGACTAAAAATGGAGGTTTATAACCTAAACTAGAAGAGCAACAAATCTCAGCTCCACGACAGCAATCTCACAGTACGTTACCGTAATTCCAGAGTTTAAAATAGAAAACCAAAGAAGGACGTTACATTGTTAAAGTGTAGCTGAAAAATTCACGAATCTTCTTTAGAACGACCCAGTCTCTCTAATGTACTTCAGGGACTGGCAGTTTTGTTCCCAAGTCTGTCTCTCTACAACTGGCGCGCTGACAAAGCAGAATGAATGCTAGCTGCCTGACTGGATTAAGCTAGACATGCTGTGGCACCTAGGTTCAAAGTTCTACCATTTATAATACACTACTTTTTTGCCTCAATCTGCAGCGTACATGCTGTCTTCAAGCAGTCTAGGAGGGCTATGTTGTCCTCTCCAGCTCTCAGGAGCACAAGAATCGCAGTTGCATCAAGTAAAACTAAGGATATCCACCCCTCTGGCTAAATTAAATTCTGATCTTACACAAAATAAAGGTATGTAGATTTGACTTTTATTTTATTACTACACCTACTCTAAGTATAGAACTGATAGTTTTGATGCAAAAGATAGGAGAGAGACATGGAAAATTTTCTGTAGACATCTCCAAGAATTTCAAGTATTTGTCAATTTTAATTGATGAGTGTTCAGGCAAACAGCTAAAATGGAGAAGCGTCTCGATTTCAAAATGTATGCATCAGAACAGTAAAAATGGAATAAAACGACCTGATGTTACTGATTTTTCTTCCCCTTGCTTTCTGGACTTGGGTTGTAAAATGGAGACAAGGCCACCCCTCTACCTCAGTCTTGTTCTGAATATTAATATTAAAAGGAGAGCTGAGTTTTGAGATAATATCATAAAAAAAGGTCATAAAAGGTCGTAAGATGGTTGAGGAGGAACAGGCTCCACCATAACCTGACAGAGCTCCATGAAATCCCAGTCTGGTTATGGGAAGCAGTGGAGTCCACGTATCTCGCAGACACAGAAACCTGCTATTAAAGAACATCTCATTCTTTATTAAGATAACTCAGTGAAAAACCCAAAAAAGCCTTCCACACCCTGCTAAGAGTTTTTGCATTTTATGTATCTTTAACAACCTTAGAAAATACTGTTTCATGAAACAAAGGACACAGAGCATGCTGTGTCATGTAGTAAATGTAATAGTGGAACTGCTTTTGAACACGACCAAGGGAAGTTTCCAATGAGTGTATTAACTTGCTAGCCATTTATGTATGAAATTTGCAGGTCAAAAACCAGAGAATTTGGGCTTATTCCAGCTGCCGATTTCTGATGGAAAAACTGTCCCCCCTTCTATCTTCTGATAATCCCCTACTTACATACAAAGACATTTTAGTTTATATGCTGATACTCACAGTATGGGTTGTTAAATGCTGTTGAGTAATGAAGATAGTAATGTATTTCCTAAAATAACAATATTTGGTTAAGAGGAAGCAAAAGGAAGAAAAGCTCTCAAGGGATATTTTTTGTTTGTGTCCTATAATACTTAATTACTCCAAGACTGAAAACGTGAAGGTTTGGGGATACTTGTCTACCCTTCTTTCTTCACTATTTCACTGCTATTTGCAATGCACACTGCCCTTCATCAGAAACACTGGAGGAGCGATGCTTGCTACTTTTGCGCAAGAATACCACCACAGGCCTAGAAATAACGAAAACCCAAGATATGCAAATTAGGACAGTACCTGCAATAGCTTGCAAGTGAGTGCAGGAAATGTATCCCACAATTCTTTGGTCCTGAGGTGTACTTCCCACTTGCACCTGGAAGGGAAGGAGGAAATAAAAAGGCGATTAATGGAAAAGCTCATACAACTCCACTTCCAACCCCGGCTGTGCGGCCTTTGTACACGGTATCGGCCTTTTTCACCATTCTTTCCATCTAGCTCCGTTTCGAAAACATACATACACACGTACAAAAACCCACCAGAGACACTCTGGGGCTTATTGGGGTCCCACTTGCTGCTAGCACACTGACTCCCCTTCCTGGCCACCACTACTTCAACGTTTCCATGTTGACAGCAAAAACGTGACTTTCTCCTGCTCTTCGCAATCCCATTGGTTCTCTGTCCCAGTTGCGTTGCCACCCTTTTGCATCCCAGCTCTTGTTCATATGCAAGATTCGGGCCCACCACTGAAGTGCCATATAATAGTAATACTATCAGCAGCCTAATTCTTCGTATCTGTGTATGACTAGAATGTAGAAGGAAAAAATGCCAAGGGAGTCTGGGGAAAAGGATGAACGACGAAATAAATACTGGTCTTGACCGTGTTTTCTCCATTCCACAGCAAGTTTTAGATTTTGATGGATTTTTTACGTTCTTCTACAAAAGTGTTGGGGATTTTTGCTCTGTCTCAGCACAGTGTTTACATTCTTCAGCTCACAGCAGCAGCCCCCATGTCTGTCAGCCAGCTGAAAACACAGTGTGCGTCCCTGCTCTTACACACAGAAGAGGCAGGACTTCCAGGGAAGCTGGAATGTAGTATAATTCCTTATCTATATCATATGCTATGATCTTTTAAAAATATATTTGCTGGTGGACACACAAGCAAATTAGAATAAATTCTGGTTTAGGTTTTCAACTCTACTGAAGGTTTTGGCAGCTCAGGACTTACACAGCTGCAAATCAAAATTCCCAATGATTTGAGGATCAAACTTCGGATTGAGGCAAGAAACTAGTTTGAGCATATGGTTTTCCTGTTGACAATTAACGTGGCAACACTGCATGGCCTACTAAAGAAAATGCCCACAGAGGAAAGTTGTACCCAGGGCTCAGAAAACAACCCCACAGATGACTCTCCCTCACAAGGCTAGGCTCAGATTTCAGCTGACACCTCTAAATAACAAGCAGAGCTCCATTTCATACAGACACAATTTTGTCAGCTTCGTTGGTTTTCTTGTTTTTCAGCTATCCAAGAACCTGGATAGCTATCTGATTCATTTTATAACTGGAAAGTCAGCTTTGCAGTAAGCGAATTTGGAAGTCATTTGTACTCAACAATGCCTTGTTAAATTTCAGTTTTTGTTCCAGCTAGAAGAGTACGTAATAAACAACTTGCATTATTCTGTCCTCAGTCTGTTCAGTCCTCTTTTAGACAGTTTTCCAAATGGGTATCGATGGCGTTCCTACTGCTGTTCCCATCCAGTGAACCTGCTTCAGGGAGGGTGAAGGCAGAGGAAGACAAGGAAAATACACGCAATCACTGGTGGATCTACCCCTAAGCCAGAGGATTCTCCTAAGCTCACAAGATTGTAGCAGAGTCTCGAAGGATATGCCGATCTGCCGGATGGCTATTAGCGACTACTGCAGAAGCTTCGCTACGCAGACCTCTTTCTTCCTCCTTCAGGCTGCCTTGGTCTGAATATATCACAATGTCACAGGTGAATTAAAAGGAGCGCACTCTCCAGTTTTTTATGCAACATATGCCATTCCAATAGAAAAGTGGGAAACAGTTTATATCCTCTATCTAGGAAAGGCAGGTGTATGAATATAGTTTCCAAACTTAATAACTCAAAATCAGATTTTCTCTTCAACACTGAAAACTATATAAAGTCTACTAGTTTACAAATCTGCAGTGTCTCCTGCTGCAGAGAAAAAGTGTGCATGTCGTACATCTTTGCCATCTACTGTAACCACACTGAAAATACTGCACGTAAAGTTTTCTGCCTTCTAGCAAGAATGTGCGGCTTATAATCCTCTTACTGACTAAAGCAGATGGAATCATTTTCAGTGTCTCTATCCAAAAAGCATAAAAGATTTAAGTCCAAAAGCTGAACATCCAAACGTAAATTATAGTCACTCGAGAAAAAGAAGTCGGCTCAAATTGGCTTTAGAATTTCCTGTGCAGCCTTAATGGAGTGCCTGACAAGGCCTCGTACTCATTAACCAATTTATGCATAGGATCACACTGATTTCCATTATTCATAAATAAACATGTATCATACGGTGTCCCTGTGTGCACAGATCCATACTGGAATGGACTTGGGATCTTTTGCTCTCTAATGACAAGAAATGGCCTAGAAGAAAGACTGACTGCCGCTATATGCTGGTGGGTGAGCGCAACAAATGCCCCTCGGAGTTGCCACCACAGGGGGACAGTGCCTCTGGGCGCTGCACTTGCTAGGAAAAACAGCTGCTTTACACACACCCCTGAGGGGAAAAGGAAAGGGGCTTTCAGAAACACCCTGCTAATTTAAAAAAAAAAAAAAAAAAAAAAAAAAAAAAAGAAAAAGGACAGTTCAAAAGCAAGAGCTGAAGACATTAACATAATTAGAATGTCCTTGGAAAGTGCCGGCATGGAAGTACATCCAAAGCAGCTTGTCTCCCAGCTTTCACATTTCCTCCAACTTTTTTTTTACTTTTGGGTTGGGTTGGTTGGTTGGGTTTTTTTTGAGTGGCAGTATTGATGTAAACCTCCAAGCAGAGTCATTTTGAGTATAATCATAATGGAGACAAATATTTGTGACAACTGCTAGGAGAGAAAATAAATATCCTTGCAGCCTCCCAGTCAATTCCCAGCTACAGCAGAAGCACTAGTATATTAAATATGGTCTGAAATAAAATAGTAAGGAAAATCTGATTATTCAGTCTAATCTGGTATTTCACAGATGGACAAGGACTATGGGATGTGCAGACAGGAAAACTGCTTGACCTCTGGAATATTACAAGGCCTATAATTCTGCATAAAAGCATTCCTTTGTGTGGCCAAATACTGTAGCTACTTTTAGACTGTTCCATTTTCAAGGGTATATTATATTGTGGTGACTCGGCCTGAGCAGCTACGTGGCAGTCCTGCAGGAAGACAACACTGAGCGTCCATTTCAGCCTGCAACGTGGATCTTGGCAGAAAGGTTCCGCTTCCACCAAACCAAGTCAGCACTTCACAAATATAACATAATTTTTGCTGCTTAATACAGAAGAAACTTCTAAATTCACATTTACAAAGAAAATATATGTAAGCAAATAAGCCAGAGTGGCTCCTTCACCACAAGCCTGACTTAAGTTCACCTCAACCGTTCTACATTAGTAGCTCTGTATCAATAATACATTCATTGAATTACCGTTCTATACAGGGAACTACTTCAGATACGGCTTTCTAGAAATGACTGTGTAGTCTTAGTTGTGTCACGGACCACTCTTCTATGTCTGTGGAAATTTATAGGAAGGTAATATCTAAATATATTTGTAAGTTCCCAATGTTTTAAAATCGGGTAATTATTACAAGAGGAAAAAGATGTATGTGATATCCTGTTAAACTCTGATGTTACCTAGAGGTAAAACTGAAACTGAGAGAACATATTTGTGGTTTAATAAAGTGTCCCAATGATACAATTTTGACAGAAACAAATTAATATCTTTCAATATTATGTTGAAATATGCAAAATATATTCCAATTCTCAGTACATTTGCAAAGGTTAAGTAATCAAACTAGTCAAACATTTGGAAGCTGGAAGTGGATTCTGAACCCTATTGCACCACCGAGCATTACATTTTGTTAGCTGTTGGGGTGGGGGGCATGAAAAGCTCATTACACATGAGAAAGAGGCTTTTTTCCATAAAGGGGAAAGCCTGCTAAGGTTGTGTTTGGAATTCAAAATGCCAGTTTCTACTGCTACATATTTACATTTGTCCCTTGCCTGTAAATTAAGTAAGTGCAAGACTGACAGCTCTGAATTTTTATATTTTCAGTCAGCGTACTGTGTCAAGTACACAAAAGTACTTGACATCAAGTACTTTTTATTAAAAGATTTCATCTCTGTGCCATAGCACATCAGTACAATCTGTTGGAAAGACCATGCTGATACTGTGCTGTACTATGCAAAATTGGGTATATTCCTATAACTGTGTGTCAAAAACTTGTCCTGTATGGACTGAGGAGTAGTATGTCCTCCAGTTACACTGGTATCAGGTAACGAACAGTGCTCATGAAAGCAATCCAGCCAACAGGGCCACGGCAGAAAGAGGGTTGTTGACAAGAAAAAAAAATGTAATGAGTAGCAACAGTTGAAATTTTAGCGCTAGAGTGAAGGAAATAACTTTAAATTCAATCACATTACTTGCTATCATGGGAGTTTTCTGAGCTAGCTGGAAAATCTTGCACATCTCATGTTTACCATACTCCAGTATAATAAGTATACAAAGCTGCAAACATGACAAATATCTTGTCTTTAACAGTTTGTATTTACGCGCATCTGTCCCAGCAGTGCAAAACAGTCCTATTACGTCTGGATGTCAAGAAAAGCATCAACAGATACTTAGACAAAAAACAGGGAAATGCTACCTAAATACCAGGGGTATTTCAATACCAGCTTAAAAAAACCAGCTTCAAACACGTCATTGCTGTGTTAATAAATCATCAGCTACTTGGAAGGAAATGCTCTTTAATGCTTAAAAATTTGGGCTGCGCTGTACATGAGAAGTCTCGCTCGATTAAAGACTCAAACTAGATTCTCAAACACTGACCAATAACGTGTAGACAAAAACAAAAGGTTTGTTATGAGGGGAACTTAACCTTTAGTGACATTTTCTAGAAGCTTCACATTGCCAGGAGGTAGCCATTCAAAAAAAATCCTAAATAAAGCCGACAGTTTCTTAAGTGCGTACCCTCCAATATGAAGGGTTTATATACATACAAGTCCAAGCATATGCCATTGCCTCTTCCTTCATGGGAAGCAAAGCCAGGTGTGCAAACCAGAAGAGAGCTAAAATTTGGCGTGCTCCTGGAAAAAGAGCTCCACAGAGTTTATGACCCCACTGTCTGCA